TCCTAAAGTTCTCCTTATGTTGTTTTAACCCTGTACTGTACTAAAATTTCCAAAGACGTAATGGCTGCATCTAATGTCCCATATACTATGGGATAGCTGTGTTTTACACACACACCCTACACACACCCCCTACACACACACACACACACACACACACACACACACACACACACACACACACACACACAATCAGTTTTATCATGTTGTTGTCTGTTCTCCCCTTGATCTTTTTCTAAGTATTTTCTCTTACCCAACAGAGCACCCTTACGTAGTGCCAAACAGTCGGTGGTTCCTTGTTTGGAGTGCCTATTGCACTCTTACGGGGGCCGCTCAGTTCGGGATGCCTGTGTTGCCTGTGGGTGATGATGGATGCTCATCGGAGTGACTCCCTGGCTCAGTGGGTGGTGGGAACCAACAGTCTGCGGGGCTCAATCGTCATGTGAGTACGTCATGCGCTGCTTTGCTCCATGTTGGATGTGTGGACTGCCCCGTCTGCACTCCACCGCCACCTGCTGGCTGTCCCTCTTGCTTTGCATGTGGTTCTCTGCAAGTTGCTGTGTTCGCTGTGTGGTGTTGCTGTGTTGTCGGTGTTGCCTTGCGCTTCACTGCTCCGCTGCCTTGCTGCCCATCCGCTGGCCGTGCCTTCCATGTTTGCCGCTTGTGTGCCTTGTTGTCGGTGCCTTGTGCTCCTCTCCACGATTGCCGAGCAGCTGGTCCGCTGCCCTGTCATCCCTTGCAGTGTGGTTACCTTGCTTGTGTTGCCTTGTGCTTCACTACACGGTTGCCGTGCTGCATGTCCGGTGTTGTGCAGCCGTGTTGCCTCTACTGTGCTGCCTGGTGCTCCACAGGGGTCGCCCCCCGCTGCTATGTTCAGCTTGGGGACAGTCTGCCTTCGACAAGGGTCAAAGGGTGCAGGACATGCAGCGGGCGGCGACCCTGTGGAACACTCAGACGGAGATTCCCGTCGAGGGTTCAGCCTCCTGATGAGTCGGTGCAACTCCGACGAAACAATCTTTCATCATCAGTTTTTTTTTTTGTTTTCAGCCTTTGCCTTGTTTATATTTGTATTTTTTTTTCAGGTGTTGTTTTCGCATTGTCATCGTTTGTCTTGCTGTTGTTTCCCTCACTGCCTTATGCTGTTTGCTTGCCCATCCGTCTACCCCATGCCTTTCACCCAGTGTGCTTTGTTGTTTTGTGCTGTTTGCCTCCCCMCCCGCCTCCCCCATGCACTCCAGCCTATAGGCTTTGCTGCTTTGTGCTGTTTGCCTTACGGCATGCTGTCTATCTGCCCACCCGCCTCCCCCATGCCCTCCAGCCTATGTCCATCGTGTCATTTTTTTCGTGCCTTACTGCCTTGTGTCGTTTGTCTGCCTTTTGTACGTCAAGTGGACCTACAATGCGACTTAAGGATTGTTTGTTTACTTGACTCCCTCAGATTCGTGCTTTCCTCCTGGAGTGTTGCGGTGATAAGGTGCATGGTCTTATACTGTGCAGAAGATGAACTATATGTGTGTTTACACACACACACACACACACACACACACACACACACACACACACACACACACACACACACACACGCATGCACACACACACACAAACAATTCTAGAGGGTAACTTCGGAACGTCCCTGTCATCATGGCCTTAGCATCTGATCAAATCGCCCACTGTGCCAGCTCGGATTTTTTGAGGGCCAGGCAGAAAAACGCATCCAGAAAGTGGGGCTCGGAGACGCTGGTGGTTATACAAAAAAGCATCTGCCAATCTTGCATCCGACTGCAGCTGGCTTGCGGACTGTGTACTGCTTGATGCCTCAGGTGAACCACGGTGCCCTGCAAGGGGGTTACATTCAAGCCAGGTACAGCTAACTGCAGGCCTACGTGGCACCACCTGGTAATAGCCCATGCTCCCCACATCAAAGCCAAGTGCCCTGTGACAGTGTTTCCTACACAGTTTGGGAGAAGGAAGGGGTGCCCTGTGACAGTGTTTTTTTCCACACAGATGTGATGACCCGCATGAGAAGATGGAAATCAGGGGCCATACGTGGTGTCTTTGAAAGAGCTTTAGTTATTAATAACTCTGTACTTTCAACCATGTGGTACGTAACGGTAGTTTCCCCTCCTCCACGGTCGGCACTTCGAGATATCCGGACAGCTGTTACTTGTTTCTTTTGGTCATCAGATGCAGATGCTGACTGCACCATACCTTGGGCAACCCGGGGAAAACTGATTCAGCCGTGACGAGAAAAGGGGCTCTCTATTTTAGACCCAACCTTCCAGGTGATAGCTCTACAATGTCGCAACGTTTTTTTTTTTTTTTTTTTTTTTTGAAAAACAACCCAAGTGGATGCTAGAGGTGCTGATAAGAGCAGACAACACTAGCATGCTCGGGGAGGCTCCATCTATTGGTGGGGAGCGGCACCTGCTGGAAATCGGGTTCAGCGTCCCTCAACAATTATAACCAGGTGTTCCGTAAACCACCCGAATTCATATCAATGTGCCACGTGTCCATCCCACAAAATGCATACGCAATCAACCGAAACGGCACGCTGGCACACTCAATCGTATGATGAGCAGCATTGATTGCTGCAATGTTCTTTGGCTACTCATGGGCCGGGACAAAAGAAGCTTGGGAGGGAGCACCTGGCCTTTTTTTTTTTTTTTTTAAACACGGCCAGGGACAGATAGGAATGATGATGAGCGCATACATTCCTACCTATCCTCCAGGTGGCTCCAATCTATTGGTGGGGAGCTGCACCTGCTGGAACGTGAGTCCAGCGTCCCTTACATAAAAATAAACAGTCTGATACATGCAGGAAGCAGGGAGCAGGAACAAGTGAAGCCTCTTCAGACCACTACATGTATGCCAGATTAGAACCAATCAGACCAAGCTACCTCCCTTCTTGAAAAACCACCCCTCTTCAGGGTGTTTCAAATAACCAACCCAAGTTACCTTCCTTCTTGATAATCCACCCCTCTTGACAGTGATTCAAATGACCTCCACACCATACCACCGCAGATCTACCATTGCCATCTAGGAAATTCAGAAAGGGTCAGGAAAACAATCTGGCGATCTGAGTGTGACTCCTGGTTGAAGAGAAAACCAGTCGTGGAAAATGAGCTGGAAGTCTCTTTTATCAATGGTCCTTCCTGCTCCTCTCCTCCTGACCATTTCACATCTCCCAGGCTTCTCTCTTCAGATCCCCCCAGCCAGTCCAAGTTAAATTTCCGGATACTAAGTAAAATGTCCTTTTTCTGATGGAACCCTTGTAACTTAGTTCGGACCTGTGTAGCATCGCGTTCGGGCTTGGTGACCGAGCAGGAACACTCGGTACCGAGCCCGAACGTGGCCCAAAATCGACCGAGCCCGAACATTTTCATTTTTTTTTTTTTTTTAAATATATAATAGGGGTTGGGGGGGGCCTGGGGGCGTTGCTCATCACTCCTGAACATATACGCACACATACACACACACAGACCCCACACATACCCCACACATACCCCACACACCACACGCACACGAGGACGCGTTCGGCAGCCCCCTGATTTGAGCTCGGCCGAATACGTTCGGTTCGCACTCGGCCGAGCGCCTGGCTATTCAGTGGGGCGCCGAACATGTTCGGTGTGCTACACAGGGTCGGACAACTGACCATTGCACCCAAATTTCCGTCCGCACAAATTGAACAATTAAACCCGCAGTTTCTTTTCCTCCCAATTTACCGCTTCCCTTTTATGAACGCATCTTTTATACCATAACAACCACAACATAGCTTTTCGACCTATTTAAAAAGGTTCCTTTGAAACTGGGAAAGTTGTACCTCATTTGGTTCCCAATGCCCAGAAGGATAACTCGCCAATCCCATGGCCAATCAATCCCAGTGACACCACGCCAGGTGCAGTCTCATCTTCTCCACCACGAAAGTGAACTCGGGCACTGCATCAAAACATGTTCGATGGTCTCCCAACTTTTTTGACTGGGGAAAGCAGTTAAACAAGATTTGCACCACGGGAAAGCTAACCCCCGTTGCTCTGAAGTAGTATGGTCTATAATCCAGTCATTAGTAGGCAGCCACCTATGAATTATCTGTCACTTAAGAGAGGAAAATTTAGCCAGCCTATGCTTTAAATTATTGAAAAAATTAATATTTTGAATCCTCTACACATCAATGTTTAGGTGCCTAACCCACCTATCCCTTATAATGGTCGCCATATCATTTTTTTTTCTTTTTTTTTTTTCTTTTTTTCTTAATTGAAACTTTGTATATGGGAACCTACTTAACGAGGTGATAAGAGCATCCCCGGTAAGTAGGTCCCGGCTTCGAAGGCTCCATCTATTGGTGGGGAGCTACACCTGCTGGAAATCGGGTCCAGCGTCCCTGTACAATGCTGTGAACGTAGCTGCTGGAAATCGGGTCCAGTGTCCTTGTACAATGATGTGAATATATCTGCTGGAATTCAAGTCCAGCGTCCCTATGCAGAGCTGTGTAGATATCTCCAACTCCCTATGTATGTCTTATCTATCTGACGGAACCCTAACCTTGATGTGATGTGTGTCCACTGGAGATTGGGTCCAGCGTCCCTATTCAGTGGTGTGTAATTATGTCCACTGGAAATGGAGTCCAGCGTCCCTATACAGTAGTGCAATTATGTCCTACAGTCAGAGATTGCCTGTATGTGTGCAAAATCCATATAAGACAACATCCAATCTGTCTGTATTCATTCATCGATCTATACATGTCCCCTGATTGAAAAAGCCAATCCCTTAGCACATCACCATAGTAAACGAGACATCAAGCCCAATTCTATGAAACAAACCAGAAAACGAAGCCATGAAGCACATATCCCGTATACAATGGTGTCACTGGCGTAAAAAGTGTGAATAGTTGTCATATCGCACCTACACTCACTATCAAGGTCAAAACGTCAAAACGTAATTATCAGCAATCCTTTCCTGATTAAGAGTTGCGGGATTGAGAGATAAGAGGCGATCAAGCCTAATTGACGCAGGGAGATCATTTATCCTATCCCTACACGATGCCAGGAGAGAAGCCACGAATCAGCATGGGAAATCACCGGATAGGGGGAGGAGGGGGGGGGGGATAGTAAGTCGCACCTTCAACCACAAACCCCACTTCGCCAACCCCAATGAGCTACTACTCCCCCCCCACTGCGCTGATTGCGACATCTTCCCCATGATGCTGATCAGCAGCTTGGATGCACAACAACCCCTCTCTGCCCCGCTGCTCCCGTGACTGTCGTTGCCGCCGTCGTCGTGATTGTTGTTGTTGTTGTTGTTGTTGTTGTTGTTGTTGTTGTTGTTGTTGTTGTTGTTGTTGTTGTTTTCGTTGTCGTTGTTGTTATTATCGCCGTCGTTATTGCTGTTGTTGTCGTCCTTCACACCCTCGTCGCCCATTTCGCCCAATCCCTCCTCACCATCGTTGTTGTTATCAGTGTTGTTATTGTTATTTCCACCATCCTTCACTCCTGTCTCGCCCATTTCGCCCATAGTCTGCTCACCGTCGTTGTCGAAGTTGTTATCGATGTTGTTGTTGTTGTTGTTGTTGTTGTTGTTGTTGTTGTTGTTGATGTCCACGTTCCCACCCTTCTCGCCGATCTCGCCCATTCCCAGCATCTTCTCCACCACATCCGCCGCCTCTATCATGAACCCCTGCTTTGCCTCCCACTCATCTGCCTGGTCTCCATCACCCTGCTGGAGATGAACGACCCCATCGTTGTTGTTGTCATCGTCCTCCTCGCCCGTCGTGCTGATTTCGAGCATTTGCTGCTTGCCGTCGTTGCTGATGTTGTTGTTGTTGTTGTTGTTGTTGTTGTTGTTGTTGTTGTTGTTGTTGTTGTTGTTGTTGTTGTTGTTGTTGTTGTTGTCATCAACCTTCCCACCCTTTGCGCCAATCTCGCCCATTCCCTGCCTCTTCTCCCTCACAACCACCGCCTCTGCCAAGAACCCCTGCTCCACCTCCCACTCATCCGCCTGGTCTCCATCACCCTGCTGCAGATGAGTGAGGCGTCGGCAATCTCAGTGCCACCCTGAAAAGAAAGCGCCATCAGGTTCTCGCACCATCCTCCATCCCCCTCCTCATGTTCATCCCTGTCCCCCACATCCCCTTCACAGAACCGGGCCCAGCGTCCCTTATAATGGGAATACGTTGATGATTGACAATTGTGAAAATTTGGGATGATTGAGGATCATTTTGGATGATTTAGGATGTCAGAGTGGGTGATTGAGGTCATGAAATAGAGCTAGATGATGACTACTCAGAAAGATTGTCTAATCAACTTCGAATTACTATCCTATCCCTAATTTTCTGTATCCATTCCAAACTACCAATCACAATTGAGCCCGTGCTGTTCACCAATCAGGCCTCTTCCCGGTCTCACACCCCAATCTGGCTCGATTACAGGGCAGCGCTGCCCACCCCAGCTCCGACCATTGTTGGCCAGATTGTAGCCATTAGTCAAGTTTGCAGATTGCCTTCCTCCCTCGGCAATTCCAGACCTCTAAACAAAGCCTCAAGCTCCTACACAAGCAGGGTACAGGGCACAGCCCCAGCGCCGGCTAGCGTCGTTCTGGCGCCAACTCAACCTGGTCATTACACAAGAAGACTCAATTAGGAAATTAGCTAATCTAGAATGCCAACCAGAAATCAAGGATCTGATAATATCAGAATCCTGATCAGCAAAACTTTCTGATGATGAAATTGGACGAGTACCTTGAGATGATCACAAAGACGATGGATAATGATGACGACGCTGATGATTATTTCTCTCCACCCCTCCCCTTCTTCCATGTATTTTCCTCCTCTCTCCTCATTTCCTCTTCTCCTCTCACTGCCTTCGCTGAGCCGAACCCCGCTATCAGCGTGAAGTTCCTATCAGCCCCAACGAGAGAGAGAACCTCCCCATTCCCTTCTACCTTGAGGTAACCAGTTCCCCCAAAAGGTGTACCTCAAAACTAACACTCTGACCTAGTCTGCCTCCGCCAGGAGATAACGCGCTCCCATACATTTCTCCCAGCCCCAGCCCAGGTCAGCTCCCATCATCTGCGTCTACTCCCTGGAGGGCAATCACCTCCCACCTTGTGTTACCCCTACGGAGTAGCGCTCCCTTCCTGACCAACCTACCTACCAACTAGACCATAGCCACCAACACAGAGATAACTACTGATTGATGAAAAAATGAATATAGAAACCGTGATGATGATGATGATGATGATGATGACGATGATGATAATGATGATTGATGATGATTGATGATGATGATGATGATGATGATGATGATGATGATGATGATGACGATGATGATGATGATGATTGATTATGATTGATGATGATGATGATGATGATAAAGATTCAGATTGGTAGATGATGATGATGATGATGATGATGATGATGATGATGATGATGATGATGATGATGATGAAATAAAATTGGCGAAAATAAGTAAGGAACGTCGAACTTGCGATGCCCTAATGACATCGGTATGGAAGATTGACAACTCACTATTACTGTAATGAAAATAGAAGATGACGATATGTTACGATTTTTACAGAGAAGTCCGGATGATGATCATGAAGAAGATAAGAAGATAAATAACATGGATGACAAATTAGAGAAGCCGATGATGATTACCACCGGTAACCAAATGAGGATTACAAAAATGACGGTATCCTTGATGAACCCCCCCCGCTGAAATGACAATGATGAAAATCTTGATGCTCTTGATGGATAACCTACACAAGACAAAAAACAGACGAAAGCACATATATAGGTTGATGATGACCTCCTAGCCGCTCTCTTGATGATACTCTCCTAGTGGCACTGTGATGATTCTTCAAGTAGGACCAGCGTTCTCCGCACTTTGGTCTCCAGGGGGCTGACTCCACTTTCCTCCACCAACATCGACTTTCGTCAACTCGCATGAGCTCTCCAGCCTCTTTAAAGGTTTTGGCTATGAAGTACTTCATGTGAAAAACACAGGGAAAATGTTCAAACAGTAGTTGCCGCTACCATTCTCCCTTTTCCTCTGTGCCTCAGACCAGACGCCACGTCAGCCTGTGACGTAGTAATGACCCAGCGCCTCTGGATACCGCGCGTGCATCAAGCGCTATCCCCCATCTAATTCACAACATCACAGCACCCTCGCACCAACACCCCCCTCACGTCGACTGCCAGCACCGCACCACGTGTCAACTAACATCTTACTAGTCACCCCAAGCCAGCGCCTCGCCAGCCGCAAGTCACCAGCACCCCACCACTCACTTGTTGCCAGCGCCTCGCCCCCCGCCAGCAGCCAGCGCCTCGCTGCACTCACACAGCCAGCGCATCACCACTCGCGAGAAGCCAGCGCCTCGCAACCTGCGAGAAGCCAGCGCCCCGCCACCTCCGACCAGCCAGTGCCTCGCCTTCAAGCACCCAGCATGCCACCATCAGCGTGCCGCAGCTGCCCGCCGCGCGCCAGCCGGTCAACCTCACCCCTGGGAACCCTACCGAGGTAGCATCTTGGAGAGAAATGAAGCGTCTATCTACTTCCCAGTGGTCTTAGCAAACATTATGCTGCCTTAAACCACCAGTGCTTCCTAGAGTCGTGCCCGTTAACGCGCCACGATCTTAGGAAACGTATGGGCTACTACAAGAGCGCCCAAATCCATCCGACTAGAAACGTTTCTACTCTATTTTTTCCCGGGGCCGATAGCTGGGCCAAGTAAAAAAACGTTTCTACTCTATTTTTTCTCGGGGCCGATAGCTGGGCCAAGTACTGGTGGTTCAACCAAGAGAAAGTGTAACATTCTTGGTTTATCTTTCCTCCCAGTTTGCCAAATTCATTCGTCCGGATCAAAAGGTAGATCATGTATCTGACATTGTGGTTGGAAGACTCTCCATCCCTTAATAGACGAAACTAACAAAACTTTGATATGAAAAAAATTCTTAAATAGAATAATTATAACTTGATTGTCGGGGGAAGGATAGAGATAATTGTTTTTTGGACATGTTGAAAAGATAGACCATGGCTCCTTCCGCAAGTAAATGCACTATCTGTCCTACCCTCCACTGTGCTGAAACATGTGTAGACATGACCCAGTCCCCTTCTTGAAACCGTATACCTTTTTTTAGCTTCCTTACCCAGTCTAGGGGGATGGAAAAAGTAATATGATCCAGATTATGAGAGAGTTGGTGAGCATAGCTAATCTCTTTCTGCAAAAAATCCGTTGTCATCCAGTCCTTTGTTTCCTGGTCCCATATATCTTTGACTCGTAACCCCCCATTTTTAACTCACTGAGACCAGGGGGATTGTGAGCTATTATAAATACAACCATTCAAGTTTGTGATCCATCTATTACCAAAGAGGGGCTGTCGTAAAATTTCCTCATAACGAGAAGGAAAAGGTCTATTTGGCAAGGGTAAATTACACCAGATTTTCAACAGGGAAGCCCATAAATTATCCAGAAGAAGATCAAACCTGAGCAACACCTCTCTCCCCTCCAACTCTGGATTGAGCTTTTGATCGGGGAATACTTCAGAATTTTTCCTCTACCCATGTGAGAGGATGAACCTCTGATGGAGCCAGCGGGGCCAACCTTCTTATATGTTCCAATGCCAACGGTTGCCACGACTTATCACTAGTCAATATCAACTCCTTAATCAATTGCAAAGAAAGTGCTTGACATTGGAAGGTTGGGTCCAGTATGCCCAAACCTCCCATTATCTTAGGTTGGATCAGGAGAGTCATGCCACCCCAGGAATAACATGTTTCTGTTCGTGATCACCTCTCCATGGAAAGACTGACACCTGTCTTTTGAGTTGGTTCGTGACTGAATAATAATTGCCCAGAGGGCTGACTTAAACCAAATGGAAGCTAGAACCACACTATTAATCAGCAAGGCTCAGCCAAAAAGAGAGGTGTGTCGACCTTTCCATTGAGACATCTTATTAAGGGTAGGATTGACTATCCAATCATTATTTGAATATGGTTTACCAATTGCCAAGATGAAAACCCCAAGAATCCTTAGTGTCGCTTCCAAAGGTAACCATTGCACCCTAGGACTCTTTGGGGGGCGAACGCCACTTGAGTGAATCCACCATCCTTGGGTTTTATTACCCTAATTGACAACCATATAAAAAACTGCAGAAAATTTATCTAGCAATTTTTTTATCTCCTCCTTATTGGCTACAAGTTCCTCCATCATGATAGTCAGGTCAGTTGCAAACATGGAACTTGGGAGCACCTGTTTTGGATCGTCTTATCACAAATTTTATGGCCTCCAGAACCTGCCGTTTGGAGGACTTTAATGCATCCTCAACTTTTGATGGGTATTCAACAACATCCAACCTGGTTGAAAATTTTGACCAATTGGCGTAAATTACATTTCAAAGTTGCGGCCCCGAGACAACGCTAATGCAAGCATGACTTCTACGACAAACTCAGTCAGTGTTGCTTTGCCAAACGCAAAGTGACCTTCTTAGGACACCATGTGGTTCTCCACATGGACGATGCGAAAATCACTGCTATCGCGGAGTGACCCGCCCCCACATCCGCCAAGCGGTCAGGCAACTTCCTAGGCATTACTAATTATTATAGTAATTTCATCCAGGGATACGCTAGGTATTTCTACCTCCTCACCTCCATCCTCCTCCAGAAGAAACCTGCCATGGTTATGGACAACCCTCTATGAGGATGTCTTTTGTGGCCTCAAGAAGGCCGTGACTTATGCGCCTGTTCTCCGTCTCTCCGATTTTGATCGCCCTTTCATCTTCACCACCGATGCGTCAAATTTCACAGTAGGAGTTATACTTTCCTAGGTGTTTCCTACCCCACCTAATTCTCCTCATCCCCGTGTCCCCCTTTTCCCTCCCCCTCCTGTGGACACTAGTTCTCGACTAACGCCTACCC